GCAGAGGACAAAGAGAAGGAGCAGAGAGGAGAGGGAGAAGAGAGGGATGAGAGGACCGGCGGTGGAGCTCCTGGTTCTGCGGCTCGTGCTTTGCCCACGGGCCCCAACCTCCCGGCCCCTAACAGGGTCCGCAATGGCCCAGACCCGGCCAGCTCAACACCCGCCTCCCGTGTGCCACAGTCTGGTGAGTCTGAGAACGAGCGGAGGCGTTGTTGATGTCTGTTCTATTTATGAGCAGGTTATGGTTTCTCTTCCTTATGAAACTGTATTCTTATGACCTTCTGTGTTGTTGGTATTCGACATCAGCACTTAAAACTCTTCTTACCTGTTGTTTTGTCTCTCAGGGAATGCATCTCCAAGAGCAGGTCGAGGAGCTGAGCGGGAAAGGAGAGTGTGTTTACGGCTGCACCGCGGTGCTCCTGCCAATGCCTCCCCTGACCTCCCTCTCCGTCACGATCAGATCCGCATCACTCCCCCACAGGTTTCTGTCACTTACCGGTTCTTCGCTTAAAGGGGTCATGAACTGGCTTTTTAAATTTTATTATATTGTTGTCTGAGGTCAACTTATGACGTTCGCTTGGTTTTTGCATTCAAAAACATCAAAATGAATAAGTAATAGGATATTTTCTACCCTAGTTTTGAGCCTAGCTCAGAAACGCTCGGTTTTTATGGGCGTCTCGCACTGAAGACTTGGAAGTAAACGCCCACTGCTGTGAGTGGAGAACAGTTTTGCATATTATAATGAGTTTCAACTCACTCGTCGGTGCACTTGGGGGATATTGTTTTGAAAACGTCCAATGTTGTCAAATGGCAACTGGAATGATTCGCCCACACGTTCGACCCAGAGTCCGTGTGTTGCACATTCCTGTCAGATCCAATATAGACGGCACAGCACCGTTCTTTACTCTTAATCGGTCTGCAAATCCAGTCTTGTTTACAAAACAATCCTCAGTGAAATGAAGCGAACAGACGGACGATGTTTTACCTCATCAGCTGGAACATCAATAAAAATAAAGTTTATCCATGCAGTCCTATTGGAATCCAGAGGAAGCTTATGCAGCGACTGTCTTCTTCCACAACCAGGCACTGCACAATATTCTGTATTGCTCGGTAGCTCGATCCGGTTTGTCATCACGAGGTAGGTCTATGTTATTTAGCTATGCGTGTAATGCGCGAATCGGTGGGCGGGGCTAAACCGGCTGTTGTTGAAGTAGGCGTAGATCTTCTTCTGCGGGGGTGGTGTTTTATCCTCTTTGACGTCATAGTTCCCCACTTTGAAAAACGAGTCGTTTGCTGAGCCTGGTGTCAATAAAAGCTTTTATTGGACTAACAAGGACGTTTTCAGTTCTGAAACTTACAGGATATTCTTATAATATGATGACCTCTTACATGTCAAAAGCTCAAGGAAAATTTGATTTCTCGGTTCATCACCCCTTTAATTCCCTGATATTTATTTTTGCTCTGACCTCTCTGTCTCTCTCGCACAGGTCAGCGTTCCGTTCGAACACATGGGGAAATGAGCTCTGCAAGTTCAGCCTCATTTACTGTTTTTAGGAGGTTAGTGGTTTTTTTTGTCTGGATCCTGCAGTTGATACACACGTTGGGCCTCATTCATGAAACACGAGCAGAACACATTTTTGTGTAAATCGTTCGTAAAAGCTGTTCTGACGTAAATTTTTAGTCACTCACAAAATGTTTTGTATTTTCAAAATGTTAGTTGGTACGACAGAAATGTACACCTGCTCCGTGCTATACACCCCTCGGATACACACCTGCTATAAATGGTGCGTAAAACATTTGAACGTTATTCTAATAGTGTGCCAAAGTTATCATGTCTCTCTGTAGGCCAAAACGCGGAAGTGAGTTAGCATTTTAGCACTCCTGGTTCCCTCGCTCTAAAGTCTATGGGATTTTTGAATGGGTTTTTGCTAAATCGCCTGAAATAAGGTCTGTGGTGAACAAAGCCTCGAAATATTTTCACGTTTTGATATATGACATAAAACACACCAGTTATAACCTGCTTGTGTTTTTTAAAAGCTTTATATAGGCTTCAAAATGCATAAATTTTGTATTAACTTAAGAGTAAAGATCATCTTGATAGACAAAACGTGTAAGGGTCACAACTCTTTGTTGAACACAGATCTTATTTTTTGCGATTTTCCAAAAGTCTATGGGGAAAATGCATAGCTTTTCAATCGAGAGAACCCATGCACCGCTAACTTCCGAGTTGTCCTACAAAGTGACGTCATAACTTCAGCACTCTATTTAGGCAAATCAATGACATTGCATTTTTAAGCACTATGCACCATAATAATATTTTCAAACAGTTGATTTTCCCCGTTTTTTTAACTGTTCAGCTTTGGGTATTAGGCAACACTCGTCACTGTCACTTTTTAGCTATCCAATCACAGTGGAAGAGGCTCGGGACATATACTACATCGACCAATCATCCGACTTGTACAACGACTGAACAACTATGGAGAAATGAGATACTAGTAATACATTACTGCCATGGATATTCTGCATCATAGCAACCAAAGCATCTCAGCTGGCCGTTTTCAGAAGAGCTTCAGCTGGCTAAAATGCCTTGGTGGACACACAATACTTGAATATACTGTATATGGCTGGGCATATTGACAATTAGTCTCTTTAGCAGTTATGCAATATACTGGGGCCCAAAATGAGAAGGAAGTCCAGAATACTCCTGGACACATCATTTGTGTAGTTGTAACTCAAATGGGGCAGGAATTATGCTAATTATGAATGAGCGTGCATGCTCGCCCGATTTACGAATGTTTGGAATTCAGTAAGGCACACGCATTTATCTACCGAAGCTGTGGTATAAGAAGCGTTTGTGAATCTGGAAGACAGTTCATAAAGGTCCATTTTACGTGCAAGTTACTCTGAATTCGCTTTTATATTTATGAAAGTTTCATGAATAAAGCCCAATGACTTGATGTCCTCTTTTATGATAAGCATGCTTTTCATTTCTGAATGAAAATGAAAAAGTCAGAAATGTCAGGGTAATACAACTGTAAAACAAAGGCATCTTTAAAAGCATGAAAGTCTTAATAAAAACGTTTTCGGCATAAAATTAGCAGTGACTTTTAATCGCGAATAATCGTATCCAAAATAAAAGTTTGTGTTTACATAATATATGTGGGTGCATGGTATATATATGGTGCATGGGTATATATATAAATACACACACATGCTTGTATATATTTAAGAAATATTATCATGTATATAGATTTATATATAATTTATATTATATGTAAATATAAATATTTTATATATACATTTTTTTTCTTAAATATACATGCATGTGTGTGTATTTATATATATACAATATAATTATACACAGTGCACCCACATATATTATGTAAACACAAACTTTTATTTTGTATGCGATTAATCGCGATTAATCGTTTGACAGCCCTACTTCTTTATACCTTATTCTAATTCACTTCTTTTGCTAAAGTGTGTTATCATTTACTTTATTTTGCAGGATTACAACAGAAAACTCCCCTAAAGCATTTATATTCATCTTTCTATGTAAAACGGGAGTGCGAAACAGAAGCAAGAAGCTGAAAGAAAGGAACCACATTTTTGTAAGGGACAAAGTGCTCCCCCGTCCTCACGCGCTGCAGGTTGTTGCTGTTGGGATGAGACATCGAAGATATAGACATAGCATGTTGACAGTGGACTGGCAGATTTATCGAGGATCATCACAAGACTCAAACAATGGAAGTGGAAAAGAGAATTTTCACCTGCGACCTAATGAAGGTTATTCTGGTTGTTCTCTGTTTTGTCTGAAATGCCGGGGAAAAAGAAGGACTTGCCTGTTGGACTGTAAAGTTAAAATTGAATATCGATAGAGTGTAACAAATGTATCCCTCGCACTGTTACTTTAACACACAAAAAGTGATGTATGTTGACACCTTACTGACGTATGAGGTTTTGTGGAACCATCTTTTCCATGTTAAAATATAAATATGCAAAAAGTTAAGAATTTCCAAGAATGTTGTTTCCAGTCAAACTGCTGTTTGGTCTGTAGACGTCACTGAATGGATATGTCATGATTGTGCATTGAACATGTAAATTATTGGAGGTATTGATATCAATATCTGCTGCAGTGAACTAACCTTAAGATCAATTTGAGCGTTAATAAAAGCCTGAACTCCTCTCTTAAAATTACAGAGCTGAACTATATGGTGCACTGAAAATTTGAAATGAAGACTCCTGCATTGACATTACGACAACCTCATTTATAAATAAACACATATATAAAAGTGCGAGTGTTTCAGCTTGTTGAACATTGTGGAACTTATATAGTGAACTTACTGAACATGCATGGCTGGTTTAATAAGTAACATGACCTGGGCTGTTTAATTCCAGTTTACCCTTTTGAAAGGTTTATTAACAGATTATTAAGATTGTACTTTATATGATACATGTAAACAGTAGGAAAACACAGAGACAATACGTAACTGGATTGATTCAAATGATAAAATTGCTGTGAATTTCAAAGTATCATTTATTGCATTAAATGAAACAAAAGAAAAAATACACATGCATTTTTTTTGATTATCATTCCCTTTAATGAAAACAAACACTCACACTCACACACTACACACAATTAGTTACTTTATGGCCTGCAACTTTTGATTGGGTCTTGTTAAAAAATTTTTATGACATAAATACAATTTAATAAAGGCAGAGGACATGCAGTTTATTTTATTGTGTTATCCAAGGAATGATAACCATGAGCTCAGTGAACTGTAAAGTAAATTAGGATTAATTGAGTTTTAATTGACTTTTTTGTTTTTAAGGATGTATCTGTATAATTATAGCAAACGGTTGAAGGTGTTCAGTATTACACAATTCTTTAAAATGCATTATTTATTGTAATTCGGGTTAGTGTTACTACAAGGATTAGTCTTACACGTGACTTTTATTTTGAAATTTTGCAAAAAAAGAAAAAGAAAAAAAGCTGCCTGTTGTAGCAGACTTCACAGACGCTTTCCACTTTTATCCCCGTTAAACTAATCCGCTAGAGATTTTATTCAACGGCAAGGGGAGCTCGAAAAGGAGGAATAACCTTTCAACGCAGTTCAACTAGGATTGTGTATAAAATCCTTTAGAATAGTCGTGAAATAGACTGTAAACGACTCAAAGACGCGGCGAAGAACTACATGGGAACAAATATAAAAGAGCGAAGCGCAGATTTCCAAGCTGAGGTAAACGGCGCTGGAATATAAACATGGATGACGGGCAGCAACGATGGCTTTGAGGAATTAAGGCCGAACCGCTTCTCGTTCTCTTTCCTTTGTCCACGCCGAATGATTTTAAATCTGAGTTTATGTTATTGGTAAGTTGCTCTTGTTTCTCTAGTTAGTAACTTAGATACTTTGTTGTTTTTTTCATACGAACTTCAACTAATAAACTAAATTGATGCTACTCTTCCAAATAAGGTCAATGTGTAACAAAAGTGAATGCTGAAAGCATTAAATATGATTTAAAGTTCACCCAAAAACAAACAACAGTCATTTAGTTATCGTCAAGTTCATTCATACCTGTATGACTTTCTTTCTTTCTTTCTCACCTGAACGTCACTGTTGACGTTCATTGTATCATTTTTCCTATTCAATGTACATGAGTCAGTGTGTCAGAACATTTTTTGTGTTCTGCTGAAGAAAGAACGTCATAAATGTACATAATTATGACACATTTAAATATCTGATAAAAAAAAGTCTCGTAGCGTAAACAATGAAGGTGGCCAAATTCTACTATGTGAGATATACATTAAGTTGAAGACATGTTAACATTGTTTAATAATTTCTAATTCTTCATGCTCTGTAAATATAAGCATTGAATCCATAATTTAACATATTTTAAGTTTTTGTTAGTTGTCATGTAAATTGTCAGTGGTGTGACTGTCATCCATGTCTGAACACAGACACGCTTCTTATTTTTTGTTTCCTCAATTATTTTATAAGTTAAGGTCCAGAAAAGATGTGCACTAATCTTTATACAGTGGTAATCAATGCAAACTTTTTAGTTTTTCAATAAAGTCGGCATGAAATTAAAATTTACCCAGAATTCCTTGCATGTTTCATTAAAAAAAATAAAATAAGATTTTTGAATCAAAGTATCATAGCCAGGGGTGTAACTATATCGTGTCACAAAATATCGCAATACAAGAATGCAACAATATGTATTCTGGATAGTGACAATGTATTGTGTATAGTTCTTTCTGTGAGGAAAAAAAATTAGACTCAGTACTACATTAAACTGCTATATAATGTTCAATATAATATATAATAATGCAGTTGGTGAATATAGCTCTTGATAATGCAAAATGTCTTGTTCCCAGTAAAAAGTGGCCAGTACATTAAATATATCTAGTCAGCGACAGAGTGAAAGCATATTCGTCTAAAACAATTCTGTATTTTCATCTTCAGAATCATGAATATTTTAATCTGGTGGTGTCACATTGGGTTAGTTAGTCCAAGCCTATTCATTTACACCCACAAGCATTTTAATCAACTTTATTTTGTTAACTTTTTACTATTATGTCTTGGATATCGTTATTGCAATAACACCGTATTTTTCATTAAAATGACTGACTTCTCCCTGGTGACATACGGCAGACTCGTCCAATCATATCGTCCACTTAAACCCCGCCCCTTTCTTACAATTCTTACAATTGCTCGCATTCAGATCTGCCTCCATCCAATCAATAACTGATTTATGACCATGTCCTTGCATTACAATTTTTTTCTTTTTTTTTTCCGATAATCTGTTTTACTCGCATACTTCACAAAACGAAAGAAAATATCTGTCTCTACTTACATTTCATATAGCTATAGCTCTGGCTGGTTTTAGTTTAATTCTTTGCTTGTCCACATTATTACAGAGAAATTATTCATGATTACATCATACTGTTTCACACTCCTTTTTCCTTTCCTCTTATTAAAGGAGTAGTTCACTTTAAAAAAAAACTTTTGCTGATAATTTACTCACCCTCATGTCATCCAAGATGTCCATGTCATTTTCTTCAGTTGAAATGAAATTAAGGTTTTTGATGAAAACATTCCAGGATTTTCTCCATATATGCACTTCATTGGGAACCAAATGGTTCAAGGTCCAAATGAGAGTTTCATTTCAGCTTCAAAGGGCTTCAAACGACACCAGACGATGAATAAGGGTCTTATCTAGTGAAACGATCGCTCATTTAAAAAAATAAATAAAAAAGTTTAAGTTTTATAAGCACAAACTCGCCTTGCTCTGTTCTGTGATGTGCGTTCGTGACTCTCCTGTTCAAAATCGTTCATCAAAATGAACAAATCTTTTTTCAAATCATGACTCGAAGGGTCCTAGATAAGACCCTTATTCACAGTCTGGTGTCGTTTAAAGCCCTTTGAAGCTGCACTGAATCTCTCATTTCGACCTTGAACGGTTTGGTTCCCAATGAAATCCATTATATGGAGAAAATCCTGGAATGTTTTCATCAAAAACCTTAATTTCTTTTCAACTGTGAGTAAATTAACAGCAAAAGTTTTTTTTTTTTTTAAAGTGAACTACTCTTTTAACTTTCAATGCATTTCTACATTAGACCCTCTCATTCAGCATCTTTGATCCCCATGTTGCCATATTACTGATCAGCATTTTAATCTCTCTAACGCTGCAGATTTTGAGACGTGACTTGCCCTTGTCTGATCACTTTGGGGAGGAAGTTGACAGGATGGCTCCAGGCTCGCTAGCCACAATGCCGCCTGCTGGGCCCAACATCTCCTGGTTCCCGGAGGCTCCTCTGCTCACTCCAGAGCAGCCCATATTCCTCATGACCATGACAGCCCAGGCAGTGTCAGGCTTCTTTGTGTGGACGGCACTTCTAATCACTTGCCACCAGGTAAACATCCTCTAATCCAACTTGAGAATATGAACTCAGTGAAATCAGTGGATTTCATTTTTGTTTGTCATTTTGTACAGATCTACATGCATCTGCGATACTACAGATCTCCCAAGGAGCAGAGGCACATAGTGCGCATCCTCTTCATCGTACCCATATACGCCTTTGACTCCTGGCTCAGCCTTCTCTTCTTTACCAACGACCAGTACTATGTTTACTTCGACACTGTCAGGGATTGCTATGAGGGTAGGCTTTTTTCCTCTTTCAGCTGTCTTTGCATGTGGAGCTTTAAACACGACACCTTTGCAGCCCGTTTTATAGCCGACTCCTGCTAGAGCAGCTCTCTGGATCTGAGGTCAGCTGGGATTTCTAGAAGCGATTGTTGCATAGGAACCGTGTTTATCGCGCATCAGTGGAGCGGATGCACATGGATGAACTAATAAACCAGGTGTTCGTTTGACACCAGAACATTACAGTGCGGGGTTAATAACTAAAACCAAATAAAAACATTTTCATTTTATATATACTTATTTTGGTTCAGTTAGATGCCATGGTGACATTTCTCTTTTTCATTTTAGTTGAAATAGTAAAATAATTCAAACTAAATAAACTAAATCTTAATAGCAACTATATAGACATGTTTTTTAAAAAAAATCCAAAACTGAATTGAAAATAACTCAAATTAAAATAAAAATAGCACATATATTTGAATTAAAAATATTAACAAAAACTATAATCTCAGTGATACTAAAATAACGCTGGTACAGTACCATAGCAATGTTCACATTGTGTTTTTAAGTGACACGACATTTTTGTTCAAGTGGAATAATTTGATTTACAGATATATGTATTTGGATAGGCTTAATTGGGTGTTCTTTGAGACCGTTCCAAATGTGATGTGGGGCAATTAAAGTGGGAGGAGGAGATCAGTGAGCTCTTGTTCACACTAACTAGACCTTCAGCTGCACCGCTGTCGGTTTCTCGACTCCACCGCAGCAAAGCACGCTAAAGAGCAGCTGTGGCTGCAAGGTCCGTGTGCTATATATAGAGCTGAGATCCAACCTCCACTGTCACATGCAGAGATTCACACATTCCCTGGCCCACAGAGCAAGGGAAGAGGACAAATGAACACCCTCTGGGGATGCTGTGAATATTGGCACAGTTCAGTCGCTTCATAAGCTGGAGCGCAAGCCTTTAATTTATCAATTTGAGTCGCACATGCACTTTTCATACCATTTTGCTTGATTTTATTGAGTGCAACAGGTTATGGACATAAAAATACCATTCATTTTAGAAATATTATAGAAACGTCTCATGATATGACTTTTGTGATTCCAACTTAAATTTTTACGTAAAAAAAACATAAAAATGGAAAGAAATGAAATGAATACCTTTATTTATTTTTTCAGACCACAAAAGGAGAAAAAAAATCGCGATTAGTCGCATCCAAAATTAAACTTTGTGTTTACATAATATATTTGTATCTGCTGTGCATAATTATTTTGTATATATAAATACACACACATGCATGCATATATTTAAGAAAATGTGTTATTCATATATAAAACATTTATATTTATATATAATATAGATTATGTATTTTATATATATATATATATATATATATATACAGTATTTAAGTGTAAATAATTCTTAAATATATGCATGCATGAATATGTATTTATATCTACAAAATTATTATAAACAGCACACACACATATATTATGTAAACACAAACTTTTATTTTGGATGTGATTAATTGTGATTAATTGCAATTAATCTTTGCAGAGCCCTAAATCTATGTATACAGTATATATATTATATATATATATATATATATATTATTTTATAATGTTTCCTGGGTTGCCCTTATAATGTTAGTATGTTTTTTAGATAAAAAAATAGTCATAATTTAGAAATAAAAGGCATTTTCCTAGCCTGATTTCAGCCTCTGATTTGAACACTCTCTTTGAAGGGGCGTGTCTGCTGTGGGATTCAGTGGAACCGCCCACTGCTGTGATTGGCTTACATGCTTACAAATGAAATAGCTATGTATTACATGTGAAACTCTCTCGAATACTTTTACTACAGCTATTATACGCTTTTACTATTACAGCTATCGAGATTAACGAATCGTGAGAAGTTTTTAAAGTATTTAGATCTATTCCCATCACATAAAATGTTGCTGTGATGAGCATTGAGCAGCAGTTGAAAGTTTTTTTTTCTTCTTCATCCTACTAAAAGAAACGATGTGAGGTTGATATTTTAGTCACTGGCTTGTCTTACTGATGCATAAACAGTGTTGAACGATTTTGAGAGAAAGATTACCTGTCTGAACTTGAACAACATTTACACATCAGAAAGTGTTGCTTGGTAGCTCGATCCGAGGTCAGCTCTTGGCCCAAGTTGAGGAAACAGTCGTCAGTGAAATGTTTGGAAACTTCCAAAGAAAATTAAATTAACCCATTGTTTCTTCAGAGGCTCAGATGAAGGAGCTAAAAAATACTTTTGTGTTCATGTGTACATCCAAACACTGAGCAACTGCCATGCTTCGGCTGCGCAGTTCCGCCTGTCATTGAACATGGGCTGGCTTATGCAAATGTTTGGAGTCGTACATATTAATGATCCCGACTGTTGCGTCACAGTCGGTGTTATGTGGAGATTCGCCTGTTTTTCAGGGGTGTTTTTCAAAAACCAGATTTAAGTAAATGGGAGAAAACAATGGTGTTTGAGATTCACTCTATGTCATGTCCATGTACTGAACTCTTAGTTATTTTATCTATGCCAAAATAAATAAAATTTCACATTCTAGGGCACCTTTAAGAATTCTGGAAGAAAACTAGAACATAAATAAAATATTAATTTCCATACAAAACCAAACCCTACCGTATACCCAAGAACACTTGGAATATATGATTCGTGTTGCATTGGATCATTTTTATATTTTTGGTCACTATTCACTGCAATTTTATGGCTTCAGAAAAAATTCTAAAACGGTAAAAAAAAAAAAAATACATAATATTTGACATTATTATTGTTTTTACTGTATTTTTGATTAAATAAATGCAAGCTTGGTGTCCATAAGAGAAATCAAACAGAGCCCCAACGTATATGAACGGTAGTGTACGTTTTGGCTTCAAATCAAAGTTTGTAATAGTTTGGTTCATCTCTGATCTGGCTGGTTTGATCCGTGCCTTAGAACTCTTATGGAGAAAATGAATGGGTAAGATACCAAGACTACTAAAAATGTATGCAACTCTGGGTGTCCTCTAATCTGGTGTAGAAAAGCACATGGTGTACTCGAGGGATGAGGAATGCTGGTATTTACTGTCTTTTTAGATTTTTTTTTCACGCCATGCCCAGACCATCACGAGGGATGTTTCGCCGTGCACCACTGTGCCATTGTTTAGCATAGCCTTTTGTTGGTGTTTGAAACTCTGATGAGGGGGTTTAGTCCGAAAGGTCCGCTGTGCTTGACTGCAAGTCCCGCAGTATGATATTAAACTGCACAAAAAAGCTTCTTCTGAGTATTTAATCCACAACCTTTCTTACTACCAAATTTATTTGCTGTTTTTGTGAGATGAAAATTGTATTCCAATGCTAATTCAATCTATCTTTGAATTTTTTCGCAGCATTTGTGATCTATAACTTCTTGAGCCTTTGTTATGAATACCTTGGAGGAGAGAGTGCTATCATGGCCGAGATCAGAGGAAAACCCATTGAGTGAGTTATTCTCCTGTGAAAAGGGATCCTGTGCCTCAGGATCAATTCTCAAGACGCTGTTGGTGCATTTATGCAACCTTTTTCCTTAATGAAACCTGTCTTTGTTTTGCTGCAGGTCCAGCTGTATTTATGGAACATGTTGTCTTTGGGGCCAGACCTACTCCATTGGCTTCCTTAGATTCTGCAAACAGGTTTGATTATTAAATGCCGTTTGCAGTCTTTGCACCTTTTTATAAATGATCCAGGTATTTTGAGTCATTTGTTTGATTCTTTTTCACAGGCCACTTTACAGTTCTGTGTGGTAAAACCCCTGATGGCCATGATTACAGTCATCCTACAGGCTTTTGGGAAGTATCGTGATGGAGACTTCAAGTATGTGCTTGTGATGTCTCTGTTAAACTGTAAAGGCACTGAATTCTTGATTTTCAACTTGTATTTCTGATCCCGCAGTGTCGCTAGCGGTTATCTGTATGTGACTATCATCTACAACATCTCCGTCAGCCTGTCCCTCTACGCACTCTTCCTGTTCTACTTTTCCACCCGAGACCTCCTCAGTCCCTACAGGCCCATGCTCAAGTTCCTCATGGTTAAATCGGTCATCTTCCTCTCCTTCTGGCAAGGTCAGCAGATCTGCTGCTTAACCACTCTATTTCTATTAAATTATGACAAATTATTATGACAAATTATATATTGTTGGAAAGGTCTAAGACTTCTTAATAAATATTCTACCCCTGTTTTGTGTTACAAATTATGTAGGAAGAGTAATTGATGAATTTATGACAAGAGTGCACCTCAAAAAATCTGCATCATAACAGGAGTTCTGACCTTTGTCACAAAAAGTCAATGCACCCACTTTTAATCATTGAAACTTCTGTTTTTATGCTAAAAGTTCATAATAAAACAAAATGTAGTATTTTTAAATAAAAAATAAAAAAATATAGTATTATAATATCCTCTAAAAATTATAATATTATATATATATATATATATGCTATCCTCTAAAATATAATATTTTTTATTGCTTTTTTATTATATCACATATTGTAGTAGTTATCATAAATTAGGTATCATTTGAAAGATTATAAAGTCAGAATTCATCCTGTGAAAACCGTTTTATAATTGAACGTTGCGTTACCATAGAAACGGTACTTATTTTATCAGGCTCCTCCCCTTTTGGGCATCATTATATTTAATAATTTATGATCAAAACCTTTTCTAGTTGACAAAACGCATATTGTCAGAAAAAACGTCTGAGTCTCAAGGTTCCAAATTTTGTGACAGAATTGATATTTGGACAGAAATGTATTAATTTGTTAAGGCAGAATGTATACAACTAAATTCATTGGAATTCAATGGCACCCGATGGCTATTTTTGGTACTACGCCTAAATAAAATCTCATGGGAACTTCAATTTTTGTGATATCAACTTCAAATTTGGAATATTACTTGGTTAGATTTATGGCTTTGATTTTATAGTAATTTTAGAGTAAAAAATATTTTGTTATATTTTATATAAAATAAAAAATATATTAATATATATTACAGTGTATTTTTGTATAAATATATATGTATTTGATATATTACAGTGTATTTTTGTATAAATATATATGTATTTGATTTACTGTAAATTTAAACTTCCATAACCTTTTTATACTTTCATTTTTTGAAGTGTTTTCCAAAGCCTTCTTGAATTACAACCATTTAAGTCTGAATAGTGCATTTTAACCCCCATTCTCAAAAAGGGGGGTGACAGCTAAGGGGTTAAGAAATGTTTAACAAAAGGTCAAAATTACTAGTTACTAGTCTGATTGTCTTCGTTATTTTAAAGAAAAAGACATTTATGCTAACTAATTATTGTTTTAGGCATCTGCAAGTTATGTCAGTCCTTTAGGGACACTATCAAGTCGACCCTATATCTTTTATTTGTATTTATGTAACTTATTTTACAGAATATATAGTAAGTAGAGCTGTCGATTTAACGATTAATATTTGTAGAATAATGATTAATGCTTTTAGCGTACCCGGCCCAGATCTGTACGTCATCTCACATCGCATGCAGTTTAGTTATAAACATGATGCTGGGCAACGACTGACTGGAATACTGACTGAAAGCCTATAATACAGTTAAAATAAAAAAAAAATAAAAAAACTTGTATAGGTTTTTGTTTTACATTTATAACATATGATATAGTTTTTAAGAACATTCTTTTTATTCCCCCCTAAATATCTGCACCATTGCAAATGTGATGATTTAATATAACGTTTAATACACAAGAAGTTAATATAGTGTTACGTTTTAGACGCAATATTGTCAATTTTGCGCACAATTTAGTAAAACAAGGGAACGAATAATACCATGTGCACGATTTATTTAAAACGAGGAAACGAATTAGTAAAACGTGCCGATGTATTACTATGTCATGGGAATGAGTTGTTGGTTCATCATATTTTTTCCCGCATGTCATCTGTGGTGCTCTGTACGTAAACTGGTCATGTGATCTTGCTGGTCTTTCAGGCATGCTGCTGGCCATCCTGGAGAAGTGTGGTGCGATTCCCAAGATCAGTTCTCCTGAGGTGTCTGTTGGCGAGGGAACGGTTGCGGCTGGATACCAGAACTTCATTATTTGCATTGAGATGTTCTTTGCAGCATTGGCCTTGCGACATGCGTTTACATACAAAGTCTACATGGACAAAAGACTGGATTCCCTTGGTGAGTTTTAGACCTTTTGATTCTTTGTTAATCAACAAATTGTTTTTGTTTTTCCCCCTCTCCAATATGCTGCATGTAAAACGCTTATTGTTTAAAAGAAGTTTAAATACACACTACTTCAGAAGTTTGGAAAAAAGTTTTTGAAAAAAGTCTCTTGTGCTTACACAGGCTCCTTTTATTTGCTCAAAATACTGTAATGTTGTGCAATATCATTTTCTTTATATATTAAAAAAATTATTCCTGTGATGGCATTACTCTGGTCTTCAGATATGCTGATTTGATGCTCAAGAAACATTTCTTGTTATAATAATGGTTGTTAAATATTGTTTAGGAAACTAATATTTTTTTTACTTTGATAAATAGAAAGTTCAAAATATTTTATTAATTATATTATTTAAAATACTTTTTTGTAACAGTTATAAACTGTCACTTGTGGTCTATTTAATGCATATTTTCTAAATAATATTAGTATTCATATTAGTATCACTATAATAATACAATAAGTATAAATACAAAAGAAAAATTCTTACCCCAAACTTATCAACAGTAGAATATATATATATATATACATACAATCGATGCTGTCAAATCGATTAATTGCAACATAAAAAGTTTGTGTTTATATAATGTGTGTATATATATATATATGTGTGTGTATGTCTGTGGGTGGGTGTGTGTGTGTGTGTGTGTGTGTATATATATATATATATATATGAAGAGTTAAGATGCAAAAGCCTCTAAATGTCATTTTAAATTTTCTTCTTTAATGATGATTTTTATCAAACTTGTATATTTAAGTTCAGTAATTTCACTTAAATGACAATTAATAGGTAATTATAATTGCCATTTAAGTGAAATTACTGAACTTAAATATACAAGCTTGATAAAAATTATCATTCTAAAAGAAAATTTCAAATGGCATTTAGAGGCTTTTGCATCTGAACTCTTATATATATATATATATATATATATATATATATATATATACTGGTGATTGTCAAAAAATTAGAAAATCGCAAAAGTTATCATTTTTATGATTATGGCTTGCAGCTTATGAAAACCCCAAAATGTCAGAAAATTTTAATATTACATGAAATCAATTCAAAAAAAAAGATTTTAAATACAGAAATGTCAGCCCTCTGAAAATTATAGTCATGCATATGTATTGTATGGTTATATATACTACATATATTAGTTTCACCTTTTAATTTGAATTACTGAATTCTTGAACTTTTGCATAATATTCAAATTTTTCGAGTTCCACATGTATGTATGTATGTATCCACCCTATTCCTGACGACCTTACAGCGTTTTGAATTATGGGTGGCACTTCTGGTTTGGGGTTTTATATATATATATATATATATATACACACACACACAGATAATATAATAATAATAATAATAATATATATACACACACATATATATTATATAAACACAGACATTTATGTTAGATGCGATTAATCGATTTGACAGCACTAACACACATGTATATACAGTATACAGATTCCAGAATGTTTTATCTCTCTTAACATTTTGTAAATGAAAATGGCTTGGATCTCATGACTTTTCTCTTTTCCTCTTCTGCTTTTATGTAAATCATAATTTATTCCTCAATCCATATGGCCTGTTATTTCAATGCTTCATTTTTTATTTTTATTTTTACATTTTTTGCGCATCTACCTTTCATATTTTCTGAATTTTATTTTGGTCATCCCATGCAACACATCCAACCTGCCGCCCATTTCCGTCCTTTCTCTGTTTCTCATTTTCATGCTGCACTCTAAAGGCCCTGTTCCTACATATGGACAGTACGGTAGGCTACAGTTCTTGATCTTAACGCCCATCTCCTCTCTATTTGATAGTGCAGGGACAGTGAAATCTTAAAGGGATACTTTGACCAAAAAAGAAAAGTCATTCTCGTGTTTTTTTTTCTTCTCTCTTGCCGCCATCACCCTTTAATGAAGTTCTCCGTCCTTCTCAAGGTCGCTGTGCCCCCATGAAGAGCATCTCCAGCAGCTTGAAGGAGACCATGAATCCTGGAGACATGGTTCAGGATGCAATCCACAATTTCTCCCCAGCCTACCAACAGTACACCCAGCAATCCACCCTGGAGCAGGGAGTCCCCGCGCCGCCCATATCCCGTAATCACAACAGCTTGAGCGCCCGGGACAATGAGAAAACCCTGCTGCTTAGCTCTGATGATGAGTTTTAACTCTCTTCCCATCGTCCCGAACGAAGGTACTCCGTAAGGGACTGTTTACTGCTGTGGTAGTGGGATGATGAGGTTGAGAAAACGTAGGGACAGGTTATTAAAGGACCATCTTAAGCCAGTAGAGACATTCTAGTGCAGTAGAATATGAAATTAAGCTGCTTATGCTTAGTCATTAAAACAATGTTGTTTATACAAAGACTTGCATAAATCATTCATCTATACGTTTGCATTTTTGGCCAAATTTTGAAATCCTACATGGTCTGACTTTTCAGCGTTTGAATTGATGTATTTTTTTAAGCTTCTAGTTTTACATCGTGGATGTTTGCACATCCCAGCATATTTATAAAGGAGGGCCGTTCAGTAGGAATGTTTCCGTTTGTGATTCACAAGTTCAAGTGCACCTTTGCTTTCCGTTCGTCAGTGTTTATAGCTCTCCCAGTGATTACAGCTGACAATAAGACAGCACAGTGACAGTAGAGGCAGTACCAGCTGTTTAAACACACCGTTGTTGTTTTGACGGATGATTTAAGGGACAGGGAGAGGTTGATGGTCCACGATAAAATTATAGATTTATGCAGTCTGGATTATATGGCTGTAATTGAAGCATTACTCGTCTGGTGCAGATTAGCACAAGCTTTTGTCAAAGTGTGACCATGGCTGAAAAACATCTTTCTAGGTTAGCTGAGAGCGGTTTAAAAATAGATTTAGGTTATGCTTCTGAGAGTGTACGCTAGATTTCCACAGAGAAGGGAGTTGAAAGCAGGGATAGTTCACCCAAAAAATGAAAATTGGCATCATTTAGTTGCTGTCAAGTTGTTCAAAACCTGTATGAGTTTCTTTCTTCTGTTGAACACAAAAGACGATATTTTGAAGAATGTTGGACACTCATGGACAGAAATATAATTGTATATAAGTCAATGGTTGGCATCCAACATTCTTCAAAATATCTTATTTTGTGTTCGGCAGGAGAAAGAAACTCATACAGGTTGAGGGTGAGTAAATGATGTCAAAATGTACATTTTTGGGTGAACTATCCCTTTAATAGGCATTGTTCCGAGATATCCCACTAGAGGGAGGCATTTCTCACAGTTCATCCCCTTTATCTTTATGGGACACGCCTGTTATTTCTGACCCTTTGAGAGCCACACCAAAGTCTCTCCCATTCTTTAGAAGCTCCCGCCATTGCGTTTCACCTCAGATAGCAGTAGGCCTTTGATAACCAAGCGTGAAGCTTGCAGTTGGTTATGTAGCATCATTGGAGTTACTTATTAACTGTCCTACGCTTTTATTGGTGCGATAGAGACCAGTATAAACACAATGCAGCTGGAACCAAGTACGAGTATGTATGGTACCTGCTTATAGTTATTATGTTAGTGTTTTACAGTGTATTCTTTGTAAGGGGAGGGCTTATTTTAATAATATAGACGTCACCGTAACTTGCACTAAGCAGTTTTGTATATTTAGACTATTTTGGCAAGCTATTTGTGTATGTTTTTGTTCAGAGAGTGGTTTAAAGTAACATAGGAAGCGCTATTACATTTAAAAATATATATATTTTGTGGAAACATATTTTGAAGTTACACTAAGACATTCTTTGTACTGTCCGAGCATTATGTATTACTATGTCAAAGATTTTGCTTCTATTTTTTTTCCCTTGATGCTCTGACCTAGGAAACAATAAAGAATTTTGTCTGTAAATATCTGCGCGATAGTTTTCACTCAATGAACACATGTCATTCTATGTACAATATATACAACATTTATTTCAATTAAATGATATAAAATAGACAATGAATTTACCATAGAAAAATACAGATAATAAATACAAACGTCAATTTTTTTTTTTTTTTGTGTGTGTGTGTGCTCTGCCCTCTTACAAAACATTCGGCACATTGTTCTGAAGCACAAGTGTCACGGGCATGATATTACCGAGTTAGATTCTCAGTAATGACGATGACATTGCTAACTGCACTTAATTAGAAAATCACCAGAGATATCCACGTTTAACATGGCCGATCATTACTGATCATACAGCATTACCCCGTTTACTGGAATAAACCAGGCATGTAGTTAACAAAAGTCATCTCAACAACCATGGGTTAATGTACATGTGATATCATTTTTGTCTTTCACTTTCCCTCTGTCACTTTCTTATCCTCCTTTTTTTCCTCCCATGTGAGCCACAAGTGCTCACTTCTCCTTCTGGCTGCCCTCTTCCGTATTTTTCTCTAATTTCACATCTTCCACAGATTCCCCTTCCACTCTCCTTTCCTTCTAATGGTATTTTTTTTAATATTCCAGCTTTCCAAAATATTCAGATACGTTTTTAATCATAAATAGCAAATAATATATATGGTCTTGGTTTTAAATACAAAAATACCACTACAAACAAGTCGCTCTAATATTAGTACAAATATGACCCTCACACATACTGAATCATATTACAAGTAATGGGGCTTTATACCTTAACATTACTATACTAATAACTCATTACAACAAGTAAACAAACAAACAAACAAAAAAAAAAACAATAATTAAAAGAATGACCCCAAACTAGTCAAACAGAAGTAGTATATAGACAGATCACAGCACAAAATTACCTTCAAACATCTCGTTTGGAACACAAATAAAATAGCTTTTATGTCTGTTGTTGAACATTTGTCTTTTATACAAACATTAAAATATATAAATGGCATGTATCAACAGTTCTGCAAGTTCTCTAGTCCCATGATGATACATTAATACCAAGGAGATATTCCAGCAAAACTAACTAGCTTCTGAAATGTCGGTGGTCCCACATGATAACAAGTATTAGGACTATTTTTTTTTTAATGTATCACCACCCAGAAAGCACAGTAATGGGCATAGAAATAGCAGAATGCTATCATTAGCAATAGCTTTGTGCAGACTTCTACACTTGTCATGATATTTGAGGCCACAACAACAGTACTGAGATTATTCTTGGACATTTATTAGACTGTATTCAGTCTGTGTGTTTATATATGTAAGTGAATCTGCAATTCCCAAGTGGTACTTGTTTTTCTTCCTGTATACGAGTATACATGGTCCTGTCTGTCTGTCTGTCGCGATCATACTGTGTACCTACGTGTGTCTCCATGCGAGCGCGGGGCTCTAGGATGCTCCCTGCTCTCTAGGGGTGTGCACCTGCTGCGGTGTCTTCACTATGGTGATGACGGAGGCTGTGTTTAGACGGGGCGTGGTGGCGAGCAGACTGCCTCCTCCAGATTCCAAACCTCTGGCGAAGCGTTGGAGGGCAGCGAGACGAGCGCCCAACCCTTCCAGCTCTCGCCTCATGCCTGCGTTCTCTGCGCCCAGCCGCTCCACCTCCCGCTGCAGCTCCTTCTTCTGCTGCTCCAGGGCCTCCCGCTGGGACACGCGCTTCACCCGGCAGCTCGCCGCGTAGCCGCGGTTTTTCAGCGTGCGCCGCCTCTGCTTCAGCTTCTGCACCTCCTCGCGTGACAAACCGCGTAAGTGCATGTTGAGCTCGCGCACCGATAACGACATGAGCTCGCTGTCGCTCAGCACTGGGACGTTCTCCCCGCATTCCCTCTTCACCTGAAACAATGGGACAGTCGTGTGAAGCAAAACTAAACGTACTTGATCAGGGTTAAACTTTTGATTTAATCAAAAGTGATATTTTAGATCCAATTAGTATGGACTAGAAAAATATTCACTACACCAGTGGTTCTCAAACTTTTTCAGGAGGAGGCCCCCTTGTGTAGGGTGAATCATTTTGTGGCCCCCCAAAAGAAAACTCATAACGAAAACATCCTCAAACGTACAATTGTACTTACAAATTTTAGATTGTACCAAAAACAAATGAATTTGTACAATGCTGGAACAACAGTTCTGTTTGTAGCTTTATGTCTTTGAATATACAAAATTAGTTAAATTGTACATTTCATTAAATATAACAATTTTTTATAAAAAATGGTTTTGACAGTTAACAATAATATTGTCTGAAAAGTGCAACAAAAGTATTGAATACTGAACATTTGTGATGTTCATAGTAAAACACTGAAAAATTAATTTGCTGATTGTAAAAAAGTGCATTAAACTTCTTACATTTTAAGGTAGTAAATGACAGTGGCTCAAGTTTGGTTTGCAATTTTGAACAGCAATCTGTTTTTTCAGCAAGAAACAAAAAAAATTCTACTCTACTTAAAGAAATAGTTTTTCAATATAGAAGACATACGATTTTATACAAGTTTTACAATATAAAATAAATCATGCAATGCAGATTTCACATAGGACAATACAAACTTACATACAGGTAAAATCATTTTTTAAAATAATTTCATATTCTAGAATTTCTTTGCGGCCCCCCTAGCGCCATATAGTGGGCCCCCAGTTTGAGAACCGCTGCACTACACACATTCTGTAACACTTTACAATAAGGCTCATTCTTAACTAACATGAACTAACAATGAGCAATATATTTGTTACAATATTTATTAATCTTTGTTAATGTTAGTCAATACTGCTGTTCATTGTTCGTTCACAGTCCATTAACTAATGTTAACAGATCCAACCTTTGATTTTAATAACGTATTAGTAAATGTTGACAGTAATATGAACTAAGATTAATAAATGCTGAAGAAGTGTCGTTCATTCTTAGTTTTACTAAGGTAGTTAACTAATGTTAAATAATGAACCTTATTGTAAAGTGTTACCCAAATTTCCCAAAGTTTATAGGTTTGAACTCATTTCCATTACTTTTACAGCCCTTCTTGTACCATAATTTTTCATTTAAATGTCTTTGGTTGCCAGAAAAATACAGGTATTACAGAATGTAAAACTGGTGCCGGTATCCACCTTTTTAACGTAAGAACAGCCACGGCCATTTGTAACTTGAATGCAAGGCTTTCATTGTCATCCACTTCGTTATTCCAGCTGTACAAAAACAGGCCTATATGCTACTAGATAATAAAAACTTTTATTTTAATGTATTATCATATTCAGAAACACACTGGTTTGTAGCGGAAATAGTTTTAAAGTTTACGTTGCACCTTATTCTTCTTGTTATTTACTTGTAATTTTTGCACAATCACACAAAATAACTTACTTCTGCTTTAGAAAATAAGGTGGATATTTTTTCAACTTACTTACTGTACATTTCCTTGAGTGATTTAATGTTAATATACCCAAGTGGTCTTTTTAATGTAAAATGTACTGATAACCACCATAATAATACAAGTGGTTCTCTAGAGTTGCTGGTCCATAAAACATGGCCAGAATTTGTATATAGACAATATACACGCACACAAAAACACCATCAGTGTCACACACCTGACACTAAAACAATGCAGTAAACGCTAAAGAAAATGTAACTCAAAACATTATAATGTACATTACCAATAACGGTGACTACTGGGGAATGTCCTTTTACTGTGAATTATACAGATTTTACCAGCAACTTTTACAGTACAATTACATATGAAGCGATATTACACCATTTTAAAAAAAAAATCTTATTTTTGTCATTTTTGCCTTCATTATGACAGGACAGTTAGTTGACAGGAAGCAAAGTTACGGAGAGAGAGGGGGATAGGATCTGGAAAGGTCCACGAGCCGGGACTCAAACTCGGGAGGCCCGAAGCACAACTGCGCTAACTGTCTGTGCACTGCCAATAAGGCTACTGGCGCCGACACACAATAGACAGTTTAAGTGTAAATGGTAAGGTAACTTAGTTAACCAATTAACAGGTTTTTACTGTAGCATTTTACAGTGTTTTTTTATTACAAACATTTTCTCAGTGTGTGACAAAAAAAAAAGTGCATTCAGTAAAATGATCTTTACCTTGAGGGCTTTACTAGCTCTGCCGTCTGAAGTCATTGTCTGGTTTTTATATTTCCCTGAATGTATCCCTGAAACCTGTAAATACCAAAAATAACAGATTAACATCAAATTAATGTTATATAAAGACCCAATGTATTGTGAATAGTCAAAGCTAAAGGCTCGACACAGGGAACTGACTATATTCACAATGCTGCAAAAAGCCTTTTTTTACTTTCATAAAAACAATTTGAATGACTAAAATTTTTCATTAAAATGTTATTTTATTAAACAAATTTAAGTGACAGTGACATCTTCCGCTTGAAGAGATGCACACTAACATAACAGCGAACGTTATTATACAACAGAAATGACAATCTGCTATGCGAGATGCGCCATGACGTGATAATTAGTCTTTTAGTCGATATGTCTGCCGATAGTTGGCTTTTTTCGCATAGATCTTTTTTTTTTTTTTTTTTTTTTTTACATTTCTTTATTTCTGAACAATACTATAATGGTAATAAAGAATCAAGGAGTTGAAATATAAAGGCCAGTTCACACCAAGAAAAATAACGATAAATATATTCGCATCCACACCGATATTTAGTCGTCTGCCCTTTAAAGGAGTAGGAAACTCTCATTTGGACCTTGAACCGTTTGGTTTCCAATGGTTTCCATTATATGGAGAAAATCCTGGAATGTTTATCAAAAACCTTAATTTCTTTTCGACTGAAGAAAGAATGACATGGACATCTTGGATGACATGGGGGTGAGTAAATTATCAGCAAAAGTTTTTTTTTTAAAGTGAACTATTGCTTTAAATACCCTGGCTCTTTAAATCTGGAAGAATTCTGGTTGTTTGCCTGTCAGTGTTTTGTTTTTAACATTCATCAGATGGGGATAAAAATTATTCCAATGATATTGTTTCTCTGTGCCATTATCGTTATAGTTTTAGTGTGGACTCGATTTTGAAAACGATTACTATATTGTTATAGTTATTGTCCTTGGTGTAAAGTGGCCTTAAATTTTAATTTTACAGATTCATTTTTAATGTTTTTTTTTTTTTTACATTTTCCAATTAATAATTTATTAAAATGTACAATTAATATAAATTTAATTGCAGCAATTGTTATGCGTGCTATTTAATATCTTTAAATAAATAATGTGATATATTTCGCCTTTGTATTTTTAAGATATCGGCATCAGCCATCAAACAAAAATCCATATTGGTCGACCCGAACAGGTGTATCGCGTCATAGCTGATCGTGGGTTACAATTCTTGCTTCCATATTTTCTAAATCTAGACTCGACTTCCCGTATCCAAACTGTAGCACTTTTTTTCTTGACAGTGAATCATGCCTGGTCAAAGTCCAGATGAAGAAGTAAACGCTGCTGACCATGAGTTTCCCGTCATGTGTGGGAAGTGCACCTATCATCCGCGAGCTGCCTCAAATAACCGCCTGAGCTTTTCCACAGAGTCACAGTGATTCAGCACAAGTCCTCCATTCCTGTCTTCGAAGCTGCTCAACTTACTTTTTATATTTCATGTTTTACAAAATTGATAAAATTCCCAGTTACTTAGTCACAACAAATATTATCACTCAGATATAAAATTCTCTCTCATTAAACACAGATAGACGATTTAGTGAACAACAAAAGTCTTGGGCTGTCGTTTCCCCCCAAACGTCTTCATTTAACGTTATTACATGCTCCAAAAATAAACATTGCGTTACGTACACAGCGACAATTTAATATAAATCTTTAAAAAAATACAAGTAACCTAATATATAAAACATAATCAAGCGGTGTGACAACGTAGGAATTCGTTTACGGTATGAAATATCTCCAGTTCAAACCGAACCAAGACATTGCTGACTAGTCGTTTCTCATAGTAAACAACATGCACGTTTAGCGTAGTTTCTAAGGATAATACATATTTTGTTTTTATAAACATATACGGTATATATAAAGCTTATACATTTTAACGGTCTGAATCGACGACATCTACTACGCAGCTATTTCCTTATTACGCGTTAGCTTGTTGCTACATCTAACATCGTGATAAAAACACAGGCGATATGAGCTCATGATGACTAATACTATTAAAATGTATAATATACTACTCCAAATCACCTTAATACAACATTTAAGGTATAACAGAATCAATTGTGGATATTATGTTGAAACAAACACTGACTGCATGTTCGTTACTACAGCAGCTTTGCTAACACCCCTCCGTTTCCTTAGTGTAAACAAATGTCGAAAGGAGGAAAAAAAACTGAAAATCTTGCCTGGTGTTGATTTGCCCCTCTTCGCTGATTTCAAACGAGGATGAATATTGTTCTGTCCACGATTCTCACTAACTTACTGGTCCGGTATTTCGACTGACATGTACGTTATCGCAGCACGGCCCGTGTTTAGACAGACTAGAGAGCTAAACGCCTTTTTCCCGGAATCAGTCCTCCATCAGCGGGCTGGATCCTTTCATTCATAAAAAAAACACACACACAAGATGACTCAAGCCTTTAAGAATGAGGGCGGGACCTCAGCGCACAAAAATATCAGTCAACAACCTTGTGAAACTTCTTTTTATTAACCCATTTAATCCCAGTGATATTTAGGTTTATGTTTAAGGTCT